CATGAACGAACAGAAGCATTTGGCCATTACCATAGGCACGCGGTCTAGGCTGGGGATGAAACGTTTGCTAGCGAAAGTCTCCCGCGTAGCAAACGGCAAAAAACGGTAACGGGAAACTCAGTGTATGACTGACCTAGTCAGATATTCACCCTCAGTAATATCGTCCCATCTCTCAGTCGGTTGTCACCAGGGGACAAGGCTTTGTCAGAACGAAGCAGTTAAACTTACTTTGTAATGATATTTTTTAATGCCGCTCATTTTTCTATGCAATGCAAGTCGCTTCTGGTCTTCGCACAACCACGTACAACCAGAGTGTTCTCCCATTTATCGGTAGACCACACTCACGGATAGCACTGCGTCACGCAAGAGGAAAAAGTGTTTTGCGTAAGGAAAGTTTCTACCCACGTAACTAAGGCCGCCTGTTTTTGAAAATCGTAGCTAGTTATTTACAACTATAGGTTGGACTAGATTACTCTCCTTTTGCACTCTTATTGCAGTCCTTAAGTAAGCTATTGCGATCACAGGGTTTGCTATTTCATTGTCGAAACACAATACACCCTGAAATGGTTTTTCAAACCGATTTATCACCTCAATTTACACACAAGGGATCGAAAATTAAATTATGAGCCATTTCAGTCAAACCTAATATACGTGAAAAATGTTAATGTTGTCATGATTGAGTACTTGTTGCTACTTGTTGTATACTTATTCTTATGCCAGACTTTGTTCAGCACTTCATAGCACTTTCGTCCATATACACGTTTTTTAGTAGCTGTTGTGTTAAAAGTAATACTACAAAGACTTTCAATTTCCTTCTCTTATTGATCGGGTGATAGATCCTTATTTGCCACCAGATGGGGTTCTTGTCGATGCGTGGGGTTTGGGCTGTTTAATTTGGGAAATATTCAATCCCGAAAGCACGCTTTGTGATCGCAGCCAACTGACCAGCACTGATGCACTTCAGCGGGTGCCAAAACCTCTTGTTTCGGACTATCGACAACTGGTTCATTTGGGCACAGCGCGTGGGATGAAACGACGATTGACCGTAGCGCAATTTCTCGCCCACGCACTGAATGCGGAGAAAGGAGGCTTCTTTGCCAATCAGTATGTGAGCACTTTGTTATTCTTGGAAGAAATCCAATTAAAAGATGCCAAGGTACGCCAAAAATGTTGTCTTCTGAACGCTGTTAATCAATCAGTGATGTTGACCTTATGGCCAACAAACAGTCTTAGACAGATATTATATCATGTATCTGTTCGTGGTTTCACGTGGCAAAATCTTTTTTACATTTACAACATCAAGAGGCTAACAGTTCTCTTCTGTTGTTTTTTAATCGGTAGGATATCGAATTCGGCAATTGGGATTCATAACACGGATGAGTTAGTTTCTCCAATGTAATGTAAAATTGCTTTCCAGCACATCCTAACCTGATTCGGCGCACTGTATACCAACCCTGCTGTTCAGTTCATTTCAGTTCTTACAACCATAAACCATGCAATTTCGTGCGCCGGTTTTGGTTGCCCATTTGGATAAAACAGCAGAATAGAGATTAGAATCCTGAGAGTAAATTCAAGCGGAAGATAGCGAATTTATATAGACTGATGTTACAAGAATAATGAGTAAATGCATGAGCGCCGCTGTTTGCGACATCCAGCCATATGTATTTTACACCGGTTTGTAAACAATCATGGTGCCGACACCACAACAATAATATCAATGACAACAACGTGGGGCAGGTGGGTTGAAATACAGAGCAAAGTGGGAAGAAGGTGGAACAGATAAAATAGAAAAAAAGTAAGAAACTAGGACAATAAGATATTTTGTGCTTCGCCGTACACCTTATGATACTTTTTTGTGTTGTTTGTTGTTCTTTTTTCTACCGGACACGGGATTTCGACAGACAGCATTCAGGCCACTGACTTCTAATTTGGTCCATATCTCTCAGCGTCTCTAACCAATGACATTCCTCATCCCTTGGGCCCCAGTCTGGAAGGTGGGCTGCACCAACCGAAGCCAAAGCTGAAGCCAGCTTCTTCATGCCTCTTGCCCCTGTCATGGTCTGACCGCCACTTCACTTCCTCCAGCCTTGCCCGGCAAGTGCAAAGACAGCACGAAAAGGTAGTCGGTGGGCAAGCATACGCAATACGTGGCCAGACCATCGGAGGCGATGTAGAGCGATTACTTCTGNCTTCTGTTAGAGAACGACTATCCGCACCCAACACACGACGACGAACCTCGTCATTGCTCACCCGATGTTCCCACCAGACACGAGCAATGCTTCAGAGGCATCGGTGGTCGGATACATAAAGTCGATTAGCATCTTCAACGTAACCGTAAAGTAGAACTCTACGAATCGCGGCGATGTACACCCTTCTTTTAAGGGACAGTCGGATGTCATGGCGGCGCCACAGGTGTCGCTGTTTAGCGAAAGCTGTTCTAACTTTCGCTATTCGTAATGTAATATCAACACCACCACCGCTGCGATCAAGCTCCCGAGGTACTTAAAGCTCGCAACTACTTCAACTGATCACCACAGGGTGGGTGCACGCATAGGCTCCTACCAGTTTTGAATAAGCTTTTTTCACATACCATACCTGGATACCTCTATCGCCAAGCGAGTCAAAACGTTTTTAACTGCCTGTGTGTTGTCACTCAGCAAGGCGATGCCATCGGCGTATTCTAAATCAAGAACTCTGCTCCCAGAGAGGAGTTTGACTCCACCGTTTGCTGAAACCGGACAAAGCGTCTTGCAGAACACCCTCTATGGCGAAGTTTAAAAGGAAAGGGAATATAGGGTAACCTTGTCGAACTCCACTAGAGACGGCGAAGGGTGGTGAAGGCTGACCATAGGCCCTAACCCGACCCGAGGTATGATAAAACAACTCTTTGATGGTCGACACATACTTTCTCAGGTGTTCCTTTCCTCAACAAACCGTTCCATAGTGTGGTGTGTGTGGACAGAGTCGAAGGCCGCACAGATGTCTAAGAATACAATGATCGTTTGTCTTTGATAAGCATGACGGTGCTGTAGCAGTTGTCGGAGGGTGAAGATTTGATCGATGTATTTACGACCAACCCGAAACCCAGCCTGCTCCTCACGTATAGTGTACAATCGACGGAGAATGACGGACCCCAAAGGATTGGACGCTATTGGGATAAGGCTTATACCCTATGATTTTCACAGTCGTTTTGCGGGCCTTTTTTGAAGATGGGGACGACAATCGATTCCCCCCACGAAGAGGGGACCTACTCAGTGTCCCAAACTCTAGAGAACAGAACTTTTAGTTCTCTAACAAGCGTTATTCCACCATCTTTGATCAGAGCAAGGGAAAGGCCATCGAAGCCTGGCGCTTTGTGACGTCCCAAGACTGGGATCTCTTTACGGATTTCCGCCTCAGAAGGTGGGTCTCTAGGATGTGTACCGAAATAGCTATGTGAGAAGCTGACGCTGGTGGCCAGCTAAATTGTGCTTTGAAGTCCTCCGCTCAGCGTGCAAGCCGTCGTTGTCGATTATAACTGGGCGAACCGTCAGCTTCGCAGATCGTTTCGCTCACACCCAAGGCTTTCCTACCGGTGACGCGGGTGATATGAAGCAACTTACGGGAATTACCCATGGCAGCAGCAAGTTCGATCTGTGAATCGCGTTGAGTCCACCAGATCTCACGGTATCGTGTAGGCTTGCATTAAGTCCACATATCGTTACGGGTCGTGTTTTATTATGCTCGCTGCCGGTGCAGGGCCTTTGAAATTGGCCGTGTCATTTTTTTTGTTATCACTGGAGCTTTGGTTTTTTCATCACACTACCTCTGGATGTACTTCGGTATCAATTACTGTGACTTCAATGATAACCTATAACGCGCTCAGTTCAATTTCCGTACGAGTATCCATGGAATATACCATCGAACCGTCCTTACGTGCCTTTTCTCGTTTTGTGAGAAATAAGGTCAAAAGGATCGCCAAAAATTCACATGGCAAACGGAAAAATATCTCGCTGGCTGGAAAGTTGCACTTGAGCACCGAACCCTGAACAGCATTGGTTTTCCGATCATTTTGTCGTCGAATGTTGGCTCAATTCTTTCTAAGCTATCGGACATCGGTCTTCTGATTCATT